AAAGAGCACTGAGGAACCTGGGGGGAAGATGCAGTGTCTGGGGGCAAAGGGACGAGAAGATTTTAAAGATACCTGAAAATAACCTTTGTGAATCTAACCACTGGTCCAAGCTCCTGTCTGTCCTGGTAGTGGCAACAGAAGAGGTTGTTTAAGGACAGCAGATGAGATCCTCTGCAGCTCCCTTCCCTGGTCACTCCCCTGCATTTAATCACTGGATTAGGGAGGTCAGAAGGGACATTGTTGACCAGTCCTTTTACTTCTCCATCACACTAAAAGGTCATGAGGGGTGTAAAGACTAATGGGGGCCTGCAAGGGGGAGAGTGGATTGCAACAGCTGAGCTTTAAGTCGCAGGAAATCAGTCCTGTGAGGAGTTGATTCAGGTGCTGGCTCAGTGTTAAGCACACAGTGCCCCAGGGTGGTCCCTCACCTGCAGGGTGTAGCTGATGGGCATCCATGGTTGTTTTCCTGCTAATGGAGCATCAACACCAGCAAAGAGGAGACAGAGAACTGATTACAAAAGTACACTTATACAGTTCTCCTCATTTAAGTAGAATCAGAAGGAGCAATGAAAGATGGTGATAATAGGCAAAAAATAAAAATGGAAAGAAAAACAAAACCCAGAGATTTTAGGGTGAAAAGAGATGAAAAAAATGATGTGACTCCACTGGGCAGCTGGGTATCACTGCCTTTGCCCACCTGTGATTACCTTGGAGCCACCAGCTGAGAACACTGAGGTGAGGAGAGAGATGCAGGAGCATCCATCACCATGGCCTCAGAGGAGCAACAGGCTGAGGCTCTTCAAAGAAAACCCCAAGAGCAGTCCAGCAATGCTGCTGTCACAGCAAATTCATTTTCTGCAGAGGAGATGAAGGGAACATATATACTTATATACACTTGCAACCAAATCTGTCCCTGGCTATCACTTCTGCCTTAGCAAGATCTGACATCCTGCCTGCTATGAACATTATCAGAACAATGACACAGAGAATATTCCTGTTGAGCAGCCTATTTTCAGCCAGCTGCATGGGGAAGGCATTTTCCAAACAACATGTTGAGGCTTTGACATAATTAAATACAAATAACCCAAAGTTTCCACTGACACCAACTTTAGGATTAAAATGCCAGAGTGCCAGCTGCCTGACACAGATGTTGGCCAGGCAGTTCTTCCACTTCCCAGTTCAGAGCTCCTTTGCTGCTCTATCCCTGTGTGCAGCCAAAGAGCAAAACCATCAATGCCAGCAGCTTCCTGCCAAGGGAAACCAGTGCTCTCCTAACCCAAACCTGAATGCACATGCACAATAAGAGAGTTTGGAACTTAGCTGGTTATGTTCTAATTACCTGACAGTAAGCTTCTGATTCTTCATTAGAGCAAAAGGCCCTCAAAGACTGTGATACCAGCACCTCTGCCTACAGGATACAGAGCTGGGAAGCACTGAGAGCTACACAACCACTGCACCAGCAGCTTGAACTTCAGATATCCAGGACTGACAAGCACTTGACAAGGCAGACTACTTTTAAAATTATAATACTTTTTTGGAAAAAAACCCAAACAAACCCCAAATAAATCTAAACCTCACCCACCCATTTTCCAGAGTTCAAAGTCAAATGATCACTGCCCTGTGCAGTGAAGCCCAAATGACTCACCCAGCTGAAGCAGGGTGCTGTGAGATGTAATTGTTTTTACCTTATCTGTTACTATTTCCTAACTCGGGAAGAATGAGAAGCCCACAACAAGTTAATTCAGCATTATTCATAAATTGTATCAGGATACAGTTGGATATTAATGCAAATTCAAAATATCACAGATTATTGCATGGAGCAAATCTTCTCCAAGATGGGTGCTTTAAGGGAGGTTATGCATATATTTTGTATATATAGTATATATATGGGTATATTTATTAAAACCAAACCTTGGGTTTTAAGTGGAGCAATGGGTAATTCTCGTTGTGAACATCTCCCTCATCCTGGAGAACATGGCAAGATTTCCTCTCGGGATTTGAGAGTGTGTATGGAGATCTGCATTGATACCATTAAGCATTCAGAGGAGAAAAAACACTGTATTCTGGCGACAGTGCACGTTTTCTAAAGCATGGTTTTAATAAGAAGGTCAGGTCTATCACATAGTGTACAATTCTGCAATGGGTAAATACATGTTCTTAAATAAGCAAGGGAATAAAAGTGTCACCTCCTCTTAGTCCTCTTTGAACATACATTATAATGACAAGACATCTCACCAGTCTCTTCTTGTAAAATTATCATTTACACATACAATCTGTTTATCCATTTAATTATCTCTTCCAACCCTGGATTTAACCAGCCAGATAAAGATCTCTTATTTACTGTATAAAATCCCAGAGGAATTTTGCCCAAGGACTGCAGACTGGGTGTTCAGACTCTCTCTGCTTGAATTTGTACGTATTTTATAGTACTAATTTCACTGAAACTTGAGTAATGCTAAGCCAGTCACATGATTGCAAAAAATTAGTTATCCAAACTTTATAATTCATACACATTTAACTGTGTTTGTTTAATCATTGAGAATGACAATTTCTTTTGGAGAAAAAAGCAAGTAAAAGAAAAGCCAGATAAAAGATGGAACATTGCAGAACCGTTTCAGAAAATTTAGCAAAAGTTACCAAAACTAAGTATATGATCTGAATTTAGCAAAAGACTCAAGAAATCATTATACAAATTCATTTATGATTACATTCTACTTGTCTTTAATTTTCACTGTTCAACATTAACATTAAACATTGTAAATGTATGCAATATTTATATAAAATTAAATAACAATATTGGAAAAATAAATACACTTTTACATAAATACATAAATCCATACTGCTGAAAAGTTTCAGCTAATACTATACTCTTGTTTCAAAAGTGACCAAAAAAATATGGTAGTGACACTCCATCCCAACAGATGAAGTATGTACAGCTACAGAATGATGTTTGCAACCGATGACAGAGCTAAAGCAAATCCAGGTGAGACCACACTAAAGGAGAAAAATTTGGCCGTTACTACCTACAGTAGTAGCACGAGGTAGACATACACGTGGAGTGTTCTGCTGGAGGACATGAAGCCCTGGGGACCCCATAGATACTTCTCAGTCTTCAAACAGCTCTGGGTCTCCTATGTCAGAGCCCAAGGACACCTTGGTAAATTGAGACTGAAAAATCAAATCAGTTCATGGCAATGACGGGGGCTCAGCCCCTTCCCCAGGGCTGCGACCCTGCACCAGCTGGGAGGAGACACTGCAGGCAGGAGAGGGTGTCCCTGCTCTCCACCTGTCTGCCAGTTGTTCCACCTGCTCCCAGGAGAGCAAGGACAACCCACTGAGACTCATAAAACAGAGTGGAGCCAAGGGAACTTTTCCTGGGTGAAAAGAAAACCATTGGACTAGAAGACTGCACCCTGTGTTTCCAACACTGAGAAGCAAGTGCAGCCTGGAGCCTGCTCCTCAACAGCCACGAAGAAGCTGAGTGACACCAGAATGAAACACAACTCTGTCCAAACCTTTGGCTCTTGCAAATGGTCCAGCACAGGTAAAAGAAAGTTGGCAGCAACCCCCAGCTGGCAAATCCTGCAGGGCAGCCAGCACACACATCGCTACCTCTGCTTACCGCACCTTGCTCCTCTTTAGCACCAGCCAGGTTGATGGGCAAGGGGTACATTAGCACCTCAAATTAAATATTTCATAGCACTGTCTCTTGTACTGGTGCAGCACCGGATACACACCAGTTCAGCAGTTTTATGGCTACTGCAGAACTCACTGAGGTATGATAAAAATATTGAAGAGTGTTACTGAAGGTATCCATGTTACTGAAAGCACCCACAGAAGGAGAGCAGGTTTTGGCAAGATGACTTTACAAACTATGACAATTAAGGAATACCAATACATTAAAAAGCAGGCCTCTTTCTTCTTTTTCTATAAAGTGCTTTTGAATCAGATTTCAAAAAATTGTCTTCAAATTCTTTTATAACAAAATACACAATAAAGGTTTACATCTGTTTGAAGGCCACTCCAAAATGGACAGGTCTGTGATTTTCCAGGGCTCCAGAAGCACCTCAGGTGACACTTGCTTTGGTGTAGGTTCACAGAAAAGGTTGCTGCTCTGGTCAGGGAGAATTACAAAGGTGTGGCACCCAAAATAGCACCACAACCTTGTGGTTCAGGGCTGCTCTGCCCTCACGAGAGCATCTCTGTAGCAGACTCCTCCAGCAGCAAAGGAGCAAAGTAAGACACCTCTGCTCCAAATACTATTTTGCTATTGGGAAACTGCCAGGGTTTTAAGCCTTCCAACACCTGGCTGATCATTTTCTGGCTTAGTGATAGAGCAGCAGCTGGAGATCAAGCTAGACAATCGCTCTCCAGAAGCAGAGAGATGCATGAGAATAGCTTACAGGTGCCTTTGCACTGTACATTACAGTCTTATTATATACACAGGAACAGAAATAGAGCACAGTTGTGAATGCACACATGTTTCTATGTAGGTCTGTGTGTGGGCATGTGCCCACATGCACACACATCTATACACACTTATACATGCCTGGAAATTGATGCCATTTAACACATCTCCCCACTTCTCTTGCCTTTGGCAGAGAACACACCACTGCTAAACCAGTAGGTGCTCAGTGCAGTATTACCACTAAAGAGCAGAACAATTTAACTTCAATGGAAATGTACTGCTTAAATTACAGGTTTAAATCTGTATGCAAAAACTCAGTCAGAACCAAGATTCATAATGCACAGCACTTGCACAGTGTAATAAGATGGACAAAGGTGGCTACTTAGCAGAAAGTGCCTTTTAAATTAAAGGACCAAAGCTCCCCTAATGTAAGCCCTTCCTGAACAGGTGTTATTCTGAATATATTGTAAATAATCCTCTGTAAGTGCACTTTTAAGACATGAAGCATTAGTACCTTGGTTTGAAGCAAATTAAATGTTGTTAGGGGATATCTACAAAATAGTTCATAAAGAGAAAGAGTTTATGGTCGTACCGAGCTCCAAGGACCAGCACTCCAGGCAGCATCTCTAGGACAGTCCTGCACATTGCACTGCTCTCTGTCTGGTGGCTTGTCAAGGATTTCACAGCTCAGATCTGTAAACCTTTCTCCATTAGGGCGCTGGCACACCACCAGCCGTGTCCTTGTCCCTGCTCCGCATGGCTTCGTGCACTGCAAATCAGCAGAGGACAGAGCAATCACTGCTGGGACAGCAAAAATACTGCTCACTTGCTGCCTGAAGCACTAGCACCCCAAAAAACCAATGGTAGTTTCTGTTCCCAACTAACCCACTCCAGCTAAATCCCTCTCATGAACCTCAGATGGATCTTCAGCTGTCTCAGCTTCTCTCCCCCTAAAGTTGTTCATGCTGCCTCACCATGATACTGCCCGACTCAATGTGATAATGGGGGTTTACATTTCCAATTGCTCATCTCAGACTAATTTTCAAAAGGGAGCAGCACTTTTATTTAAAAAAAAGGCCTTCAGTTAAACTAGGCTTCTCTTTAAAAAAAAAAAAAATCTTAATTTTTGTTAAACTTAATTTTGCTTGGGAAGAAAGTTTTCCCATGACAAATGGAAATGAAAACACCACCCAGCAATTGCTTGGGTTCACTCATTTATCAGAGGCTGCTCTTCAGGTTCCAATCCTTCTAATAAATGCCACCACAATACCCCTCTCTTCTCCCATTTTTCAGCCACCTGCTAATGAAAGTCTTGCCCTGGGCAGGGAGCCCAGATGGATGGTGCACTCACCTCTCCCCAGTTGCCATAGGCCCACTGAGGGCAGGGGCCAGATTCGCACGATCTCTGCTCCACGGGTTTGCTTTTCTCATCGCAGTTATTTGCAGTGTATCCGTTTTCATCCTGGCACACCACGACCCGTCGCTGGAACCCCCCCGCACACGTGCTAGAGCACTGCAAGACACAATTGCCCACGGTTTCATTGAGTCCAGGAATAAGTTTGCATTCCCAGCTCCTTCCCAGTGCCTTGCACCGTGGGAATGCACTGCTAGAAGTTTAATACAGCTAACAGGCATTATTAAACTTCAAACCCCAGCTATTACTAATAGCAATGCAATGACTTAGGTACTGACTAAGCAAAGAAAGTAAACGCCAGCCTAGTTTTAAGCAGGTGAGTAATCTCTGCTCAGTGTTTGACATCCCATTTGTGCTTAATTCCCTTTAGAGACTTCCATGATAAAGTGTGGCATACTGTTTGCAGTGAGAGGCTCTGCTTTGCTTTGGCAACAACTCTGTAGAGCTGTAAAAGTCCCAGGAGACAGCCAAGAAGCAGAGGCCAGTCTTTGCCTCATGGAAAATGATGCTGGCAGCTTTCTGCCTAGACTGGCTTGGAGATACAAGGTATGAGAGGCTGACAAGTGATGCCTGAGCCCTTCTGCAACACTTGCTTGTGTGAGCAGAGACCAGACAGTGGGGAGAAAGGTCCCTCTCTCTCTTCCTTTGTGCTGACTTTAAAATATGGATTTTGGGAAAGAAACAAAGCCCAAGAAAACCCAAGAATATGAGGATCAGAGCACTTACAGCACCCCAGGGGCCTATTCTCCACTGATTGCCTCCCGGTATATGTGCACGGTTTCGGTTCGGGCTGCCCCCAGGGTGTGGTTTGAGGCGATGATCCGGATAGAGGAAAGGGGGGATGGGCCTGCCGTAGTCATGGCTGTTCGGATGACAAGGAGACATGGAGCAGTCTTGCTCGGTGGCAGGGAGGTCGTCTGGGTCACACTCGCTCCTATCCACCAGCTGGTCACTGTAATTGATGCAGATCACTTGTCGCGTTGCCTTACCTTGACCACAAGTCACCGAGCACTGCGTTACAGTGGGAAAAGGAGACACGGTCACATTTCCAGTTTTGAAAAACAGCTCTTGCTAATAATGAACAGCAGAAAACCCAAATAACCTCACTTATAAAAGGGCAAGCGCGACAGATTAATGAAGCACATTTCCAGCAATGAGGTCTCTTGCAAGAGACAGCGTGATGCTTACAGAGCTCCACTCCAAGGCCTTCCACTGCCCGCATGGTGTCACGGTGCACGTTTCTGTGGCTGAGGGCTTTGGAAGGTGTAAACAAGCTGACTCATTGGCCACGGAGCCCTGGTCATCCCGGCAGCTGACGTATCTCATCCGGGTTCCCTTCCCGCATGTTGCGGAGCACTAGGGAAGAGCAAAGAACATTCCACTAGGAAGTTGCCTGACGTACATTGCAAGGACTTTGTAATGAAAAGTTGGGCATATGCACTTAAAAATATCACATTGCCTACTGTAAAGTAATCCTGAAAGTATTACGATGTGTGCTTACCGGTGTCCAGGATCCAAATCTCCACTGCGTCCTGTGAATGCCTGATATGGCTCTCTTGGCTTCAGGACTATTTGGATGGGAAGGACACACAGCTATTTCACAGTCCTGTACAGAAAATACATGGGGAAAGCAGGAAATAAAGAATTTGCAGATGTTTTGATTAAACCACCTCCTCTTCAATGTAATTATGAAGAACATGCAACATCTTGAAACTCTAGTGACCTGCACGTGTTGTGCAGGCAGGCTTCCTCCCTGCATCCCCTAGTGAATCAGCAAAACTCAGCATCAGTATCCTGGGGCCTTCATATGCAGTACTCTATGAGGACTTTTGACTTATTAGGAACTCTACAATAGGGATCCCCATAACCATGTACCATCTCCATGCATTAAAACCAGATGTTTTTGAGGCAAAAGATGAAAGTTCATTAAACGTTCTGGCATGAACACACATCTGCAAAACAGCAACTTTATCTCCCTTCAAAGCTCCCTTCCTTCAGTGTGAGACCTGCAGCCCACACAATAAAGGTTATGCTGCTGATTGCAGCCCTTTGATTCCCTGCAGCCCACCAGACCACCTATATCCATGTGCTGATCTCCACCACACACCAAGCAATGTGAGGTTTTGGGGACAGACATGTCATTCTGCTCAGTCTTTGTACAGTGCCTCACAGGAGGGCTCTGGTTCTGCCTGGACCTCCCAGGAGGTCTGGTGTCAGAAACTATGAACATCCATGACTTTACTCCACTGAGTACTCCCTGCCAAAAAGGAAATAAATAGTGATTGTCCCCATGAGGGGGAGGGCAGCTTCTGACAAATGGAAAACCCAATTTCTGTTTTATTGTGATTTCACTTATGCTGGAGGCATATATGCCAAATGATGGCTGATGACAGGTGGGTTTGTTACCCCTTGACTGTAGTGCAACTGGTCTCCACACATGGGAAAAACAGCTCCTTCCCAAATGTTGTGGCCTTAGTTAAACTCTGTGAGTTCGTGCAAGACTGGCACAAGCACTACAATTCTTCTAAATGACAGATAGATGGTAATGTTCTGTTTTATTCAGCCCCTCCAGACACCTTGGATATATCTTCTGCTTGAAATGGGAATTTACATGTTTGCTTCCAAGTACACAACATGGAAAGCCTCTTCAGCAAATTTGCAAAGGGTGTACAACATTTCTCAATTTATCTGGCCAGAGAGTACATGTCTGGAACTACAGCTGTCACAAACATTATATTGTCACATGCAGCAGACAAGAAATTATGGCCTCTCACCATCATTTGTGGTTAGGGGCAACAGCAACAGAGTCCTGCACGCACAAGAGCCCAGACTGCAGCCAGGCATCCTCAACTCCATGCAAGACAAAGGAGGTGTCTGCTGTGTCAAAACCTGAACTTCTGAGGCCAGTAAATACTGTCTCAACCTTGTAGTCTCTTGTTGTTATCCCAGATTTATCCACTGCAGCTTCTTTATCTCATGAGCTCTTAAGAGTCCAGCTTTAGTGATGCATCTGAACACACCCTCACATCCCATTGCATGAGTAGAGCTCCATGGATATAAGCCATAAGCAAAGATAATTAATCTTCACCCACAAAGTCCTGATACCCTCTTAGGTTGTCTGCTGCCTTTCTGGCAGTCTGGTGCTTCAGCAGAGTGTAAGGTGAACCACATGGAGAAGATCTGGATGGGAACTCCCTGAACACAGTTTATCTATCCCATTTCTACCAAAGCAGGGTGCTGTGCTGCATCTTTCCAACAATCATGAGCAGCCCAAGGTACCACTCTGCCGGGCTGGCATTCAGGGCAAAGCTTTGCTGTAGCACGATGTTCCCTGAATCTGTAGCCTGGATGCCTCTATACACACACTGGGAAGAGATGGAGACAAGAGAGTAGGATTTACCTGGGTATCTGTAGGCCTGGTTGCAGCATTACACTCATTATCATCCACCACTGACATGTAGGTGCCCACAACACACTTCACTGCTCTCATCTGGTAGCCTTGGCCACAAGTCACAGTGCACTGGGAGAAGATGGGAGAAAAGAGCACTGGGTCTGAGCAGGTGCTTTGGTTAGAGAGTGTTAATTAGCCCAGCCTCTGTTTAGGCATGTAGCAAGAACAGCAAAAATGAAAGACAGTTTCCCTTCTGGTTTCTCTGCATTTCATGCATTTCAGCTTTAAATTAGGTCAAGGTTTTAACTCGCTGCAGCCACCAGTGCCTTGCACGCTTCACTTGCTTCTTCGGGAATGAAGGTGGAGCACTGAAATTATTTACTTTGCTGCACACATTAGAATCAGAGTCTGGCAGAACCTGTATGATATCCTTCTTTAAAACTGGTTGTTCAGCCCCATGGTAGCATGAGCAGCTAATGAAAAATTTTACTGATGGGAAATATGTCTGACTGGGACAACTGGTCTGGGTTTGTTGCTGTTTTTTAAGTCAAGAGCTAACAGCTTTGTGAAAAAGCAGATGCCGGAACACTCTGGGAGGAATGAGTAACTTATATTTTAACAGAAAAAAACCCTCACTAAACCACAAACTGGAAAACATTAAAAGCAACAAAAGTTATTCAATGTGAGCAGCTTTTCTGTGAAAATTAGGGCACGTATTTATGTGCCTAAATATGGATTTAGGAGGGTAACCTTGGAAACCTCTTTTTTTGAAAATCATGGCCAATTCAGTATGACAGAGATTAAATTTAGCACAAAGGGCAGGTAGTGTTATTGCTGCCTATCCGCTGAACCCAAGCAAACAGAGGGCTGCTTTGGTGTGCGAATCAATTAACACAGTTATGCTGCTGAATCTGGATGAAAGGGCAGTGCCCAGCCCCAGCCACCCTTATCCAGGTCCCCCCAGCCAGTGGGGCTGTGTGGTACCTGTCCCCAGGGCCCCACTTGCCACGAGGCACACTCCTGCTGCTGGCACATCTGCACTGACTCCGGCTTCGTCTTGGGGTCACAAAACCTGTCGTTCAATCGATCTTCTCCAAACTGGCACCACGTCTGGCGGTGCTTGTGCCCTTTTCCACAGGTGACCAAGCACTGTGAGGAGAAAAGTGCAAGCTCAGATGGTGCTGGGGATGCACTGTCAGCTCAGCACCTGCCCTGGCACTGGAAAATAAACCTGGAGACCTACTGCAACCACTGCTTAAAAAAATCCTGGTGCTGAAGTGCAACTCTTTAGCTAACATCAGCATGTCCTGGAAGACAGGGGAGTGTCTTGTCAACAAGAAGATTGCTGTCAGGAGCTAGTCTAGAGCAGGGGCTGGATCATGGAGAGCACAGCTGGGCTAGAATCCTTCAGCATGGGCAAAGTGAGACCACAAAGGCTCTTGACTTCTAGCAGCTGTGAGATGCAGGGTAAAGGCACAGCACTGCCCTGTGGGGTTTTAGTTGTGCACAACAGTGTGTTTCTAAAAACCTTGCTCTTTCTGAGTGTGCATTTTAAGGATCCTGGCTTCTGCAGGCTGTGAGCACTTCTTCCACTACCCTGGCACGGCTTGGACTGCCACCAGCTCAAATCAGAAGACACATTTAGTAGAAAACAATCCTGTTCCCATTTAATTGCTTTCATTATGCCTTAAAAAAACATGAGTTATAGAAACAAGAGAAATTTGGCCACAATGATGATGAGTACCCTTTGAAGACTGTACTCCAGGACCCCCAGTCCTGCTGCAGCGAGAAAGCTATCATGATTGTTTTGTTGCATTGCAAAAAACACCAGCAGCAGTGGAAGAGGTAATAAACAGCAGAGAGAGGCTGAGCAAAACATCAGCAGGGTGCAATCCTGCCCTCCAGTGACAGCCAGAGCTGCCAGGGCTCTTGAGGACAATCTCAAGGGAAAATGAGGGCAGAAGGTATTTTTCTTCCCAAATACATAGCAGAACTACGGAAAAACTGGGGAGAAATTACTGCAGGATTGCAGAGACATTAACCCCCTGTGGCTTTGCGGGGAGGAAAGTGGCCACTTGACCACTGGTAACAAGGCCAATAACTTTGCTGCCTGTCTGAAGCCTCCCTGTGCACAGGCTTGCCACCTTCTGCAGGATGCACAAACAAATCATGACAGACGAGCAGGTATGGAGACACCTTTTGCAGACACCAGCCCCTCAGGGTGGAGGACCAGCAGGGTGAGCCCACCTTGGTGACCAGCACCTACCTCAGACCAGTCACCAGTTCTCCACTGTGGGCAAGAGAAGTCACTGCATCGCTGCACTGTCAGCTTCTCCTGCTGGCTGCACTTGCTGTCGTCCAGCACGTCGTTGTAGGTGCTCACACACATGGCTCGCCGCCGCCGTGTGCCCCCGCCACAGCTCTTGGAGCACTGCAAGGGACACACACCCAGTCAATATTTCCTGCCACTCTACTGCTATTGCCTCCTCCCTCTTTGCAGTCACTGTGGAGTGACTGCAGGAAACCTCCGGAACAACAACTTATACTTTAAGTAACAGGCTTTTACTTTATGTATTCCTTTAAAAAGCTAATCTCGCTGTGTTCAATAAAATGTCGTGGCAATGTGTTTCACAAATTCATTTCAGACCTGTGAAATTCATTTATAACCCCATTATTACTTTTACAAGTGTTGCCTTTCACTTCTCCTAAATGGCTGCTGTTCGTTTTCATTTTAAGAGAGATTAACTCTCTGACCAGCCAGCCCCACTTCACTGCACCCTTTCTGGAAAACCCCAGACTTCTCAATCTTTTGGTGCCTGCATTCAGGAATTTTTTTGTTCATGCAAAAGCTAAGATGTGTAAAGGAAACAAATTTCCTAAGTCGTCTGATGATGGCAACATGTCCTCCCCAGCTCCTGGCAGTGGTGACAGCTTTGATGGCAGAAGACAGCTAGCAGAGCTTCATGTAATGAAGACAGATACTTAAAGTATAGAATAATTGCAGTGGAAGGTAAGGAATACCAGGCTGATTCAGATTAGAGTGTCCTCCAAGGAAGCAATGAAAGCAGAACCACTGTGGCCATATTTTACATATATTCTGTTAGCAACCTAAACAGCCCAATGTACTCCTGTGCAAGGAGCAGCATTGGCCGTGCCACAGAGCATCCCTTACCTCAGTCCAGGCCGAGTACCGCCATCCTCCCACGTTACAGTCCCCAGTGCACTTCTCCCTCGTGCTGGGCTTGGCCTGGCTGTTGCAGAAGCGGTCGTCCACCTTCTCTATCTTGCCCTCCAGCCGGCTGTACTTGGAGCAGTAGATCTCCAGGGTGCGGTAGCCCAGCCCGCACTGCGCCGTGCACTCGCTCTTCCTCGCGATGTGCCACCTGCACCAAGGACAGCAAACATCAGCCCCGGGCTCTGCAGGGAACGTGCTCAAGGGTGTTTGACAGAAATAAGGAATATATGCTCTTGAACAAGAAGTTTTGGCTCTGTGTCACACTTTGCAGGGCTTTGGGACTTACAATTACCCTGGCATTGCTGCTTGAAGGGAAGGAACTGTCAGAAGGTCTTTCTTAAGCAAAAGAAAGACAGCAAAACCACACTAATCCTGTGGGACCAGCCAAGGTGGCAAGGGGAGTTCATGGCCAAGCAAGGAACAGTGCTCTGAAAGCTTCTGAAAGATTCTGAAAGCTTTCCACCCCATGTTCCCCTGCACCTGCCACCTCAGCACTAAAAACTGGAAAATACAGCATCAAAAAATGATCTGCACAGGCTGGAGAGGTGTTCCACAATAAAGGACACCCACAATGCAGTTTCAGCTCTACAAAGGATAAGCAAATTACTTGCTACAAGATACTCAAGCCCTAGCCGTGTCAGCAGGGATTAGAGGTGTTCTCTCTTGACAGATTTCCACCCTGCTGCCTCCTCTGTGAGATGGACAACAAAGATGGTGCTGGAGACCTCCAAAGACCCACCTGGAGATACAACTCTGCTTCACATCATCCCAGCTCTGGAAAGAGATGCTGGAATGAGGCCTGATCCAGGGAGGTGCTGGAGACCCTGAAGCCAACAGGAGCCCATTGCCCCTCACACCTGGCAAGGGTGGCTTCTGGGGGAGGAGGCAGTGACATCCTCTAGGGGGTCCTGGAGACCCTCGGGCTGATGCCTGTGCCTGTACAGGGAACACAGAGCCCTGCTCCCAAGCCAAGAGAGCAAACTCTATCACAGCCCAGAGAAGAATGAGATCAAGGGGATTTGGAATCAATAGCTCCTGACTGGTGGGAGCCTCACAGCCCTGCATGCTTTTCAGACTCCTGCTTTGCCCTTCTCAAGTTTCCAACCTGTTGCAATGGCAACAGCTGTTACCGCGACAACCCGGCCCTGCACAGCCCCGGTTTTACAGGGCTGGAGAAACCCCTCGGGAAACTCGGCCATCGGAATTGCTTCACCAGCAGACGCTTAATGCCAGCCCCAGGAAGGAAAACAGATTGTTATTTAAAAGAAAATGGGTTGTGATGATTTAGACTGTGCTCCATCAATTCTGGCTTGCCAAGAATTGTCTGGGGACAGTCCTGAACCCATTCTACACTTAAGCCTATTCTTTGCTTTAAATAAACAGTGATAAATCCAAGTCTTAGCTGTATTTTTTTCTTTAAGTATGTGTTTTCCCCTCTTTGCAGGCTCTATGTATAATGGCACTGATTTCTAATCCAGGCAGATGCAAATTTCAGGCCCTATTACACAGGGAGATTTTTTTAACATTAAGAGAATTTTTGTTATAGTTAGCTCTAATTGAATCTAGCAAGAGAAATGTAAAAACATTGAAAAGTGCCTTTCAAAACACCACTGGTGGATGACAATCCCTCTTGGCTGACAAAGAGGCAACTACCAATTCTTTTCTTTTTCAAAATCTAATACAGGCTGGTGAGAAAGGAAATTATGGTGAGAAGCAAAAGGAAAGAGGAGTCAATAATAAGTACACAATGTTATTTATACACATGGCTGGGCACAGTGCACCTTAATTCACATTCTGTGTTACAAGGCTCAGTGGTGGGGTCAGGCTGGGGAATTCGATCGCATCGCTGGTCTGACACCGTGAGCTGATCTGACTCTCTCTTACATACAGGCTTCCTTTTTCGTTCTCCTGCACAGAGAAAATCAGCACTTGGTTTGAGTCATGTAGCAAAGTGATCAATTCAGTAATTTCTCTTATACCTTTCATAGTAGTATTTAAGAGATGTTTAGGTGTGCTTTTCTACCTCTGTCTGAAACAGGGAGGGGGTTTAAGACTAAGTGGAGCAGGAGTTTATCACGGATGGGATGGACACAGGCAGAGAGCTGCAGTACCCCACAGGAATGGGCTTTGATTGAGTATTTAGCAGGGTGGGCTCTGGCAATGATTGGATGTCAGACCCAAAACCGGACACTGGTGCATTTTGCAGCCTTAGGAAATGCCTCATGACGTTTTCTGTGCTTCAGCTTCCTCACCTGCAAACCAGGTTGTGAGGCTCACTTGGCTGGGAGGCACTGTAAGGTACCCTGCTCTGAAACCCAGAAGCACCTTGTAGGATGTTACCCTCCACTGCAGACCAGGGAAACAATTGTATCCACAGGGTGAGAATCTCAAAGAAATCAAACAGAGAGATATCTGTTTGATGTACTGCCCAGACCCCAAATGAATCCAGGACAAAACTACCCTTCCCAAGCACCCACCTTGGCAGAGCTTACTGCAGGGTTGCCATGGGCCATGCTCGTTCCAGTAAAACTGCTGAGGTTTGTCCTCAATAGGGATATTGAATGTATAACGAACGTCAGGATTGTACAAATTGCCCACTGACAAAACCTGAGAGGAAGAAAAATGAAGCAGAGTAAACCAACAGATATCACTGCCTACTGTTTTCAGTTCAACAATGCTGGGCAGACTTGTCCATACACACAACATATACTTCACCTGAAGTGTTATTTCTTGCTCAATCCGATCTGTAGAATTAATCCTTTCAACACCATTATCGGAGCCACTGTATTCAATCACAGCATTCCCAACTTTGATTTCCCTTTTAAACATACTGACGACAAAGTCTCCATTTAATATAAAGTCTCCTTGACTGTTAGATAAGGCTGCATAGGTGCAAAAAACAAGAACTAAAGAGGCAGAATTAACTCATACATACATAACAACGTGAGTCATGTGCTCTCAGTGCTCCTTTCTCTGGGGAGGTGGGGGGAAAAGCCCACTGGCACTCTCAAACAGAAAGGATGTAAAGTGAGCAGCAGAGCTCTTGCCTTCTCCTTTTTCCACTGGAAAGCCTCCTAAAAATGAAGGCTGAACTCCTGAAGTTGTTGCTAAACAGTTAATCCATAACCCAGTGCAGAGATATCCGAAAGACATTCTGGGCTGGCTGCTGCCAGGAGCACACATAGGCTCCCTACATATACCACAGAAATAATCCTGCCCAGACCTTTTCATGAGCTGTATGGATAGGGTGGATTCCCTGGTGTTTCCAGGTGTGTTCTTAGGGTAAATGTATGGACTCTAATTATCGAAACATAATTTTCTAGTATATAATTAGAGAGAGTTTGGTCAGTATCTCCCCTTTTGTCTCCCTCTCCCTCATCCCCCCATGCTTTTTATTATTCCAAATTTTAAGGTATGTGAGAGCACTGGAGGCTTAAAGCCTAAATACTTTATAAAAGGAACAGTTTCCTGAAAACAGCAGTCTGCTGCACAACTTCACACTAATGCGATTATGTAGCTAATTTCCTAAGTTAGTTTCCCCACCATTTCACCCATCACAGCTATGTTACTAAAAAGCCCCTGTACTGAAAAATCTAAACACCAAAACACCAAAGGGAAGGTTTTTCCATCGAATGAGGAGAGATAACAAAGCAAAACACTGCTTAGTAGCAAAAAGACTAGATGGAGAAAACCTCACAAAGCAGAGGCTAAACTCAACCAAGTTTCACACTTTGGAGGTTTTAATGTTATTAGGCAGTAGTAAAACTCATTAAAGGATTACTTCTCTTTTACTGTATCTCCTATAACAGTAGGTACATCTTGGACTTGATGACAACATCAAATTCCTCCTAAATTGTTAAGCAACTACAATGTTCACAGTAAGTGAGGGCCCAAGATTTCACACTCAGTGAGCTGCAAAGTAAGTGGACACATGCACACTTCTCATTTGTTTCCAGTCAGGCCTAATGTGAAGAGATGCTTTCCCAGCAATATTAAAGCAACATTAAAGAAGATTTGCCTTCATTGTTTCCCAAGAAGATTAAAGGCCCTCCAAGAAGAGCTGAGAAGTTTGGGGCTCCTTCTGGGGTGAACCAGTTTGAATAGGCACAACATAAGGAGGATTGTTTTTTCCAGGAAAGAGGAAAAATAAAATTTGGCTCCCTCCTCCAAGACAGAAAACTCTGAGACCTCAGTAACACTTTCTTGGTGCTGATGTGCATTCCTGCTGCACCACCTCAACTTTTTGCCACAATGAAGGGTCCAGCCACATGGATGGCATTTCAGAGCAACAGCCAAGGCTGTCAGCACTGCCTCCCTTTGGTGCATGGTATTCTCTGGCACTTGCTTCTCAAATGAGTCCCTATACCTTTTATGGGCTGGGGGCCACCAGCCAACTCCCCTTTTTAAGGTACCTAGTTACAGGAATTTGGTGAGATAGAACAAGATGAAGTGCCCTGTTCAAAGATATCAGTACAGGACCCTGTGCTACTGGAACACAGCTGGTGGTGCAAGGCACAGGGTGTGCAAAAGAGGAGAACCAGAGACTCTGAAAGAACCCACACAGGACTTTATGGCAAAATCAGCCTTCAACTGAGAAGTGTAACATCAGTCATGATGTTCATTTGTATTAACTCTGCTATTGAAGTCAAACAGAACTATCTATGGGGTGAGTTAGGGATCATGATGGAAAAGACATTCATGGCCATGCTAACATGTATGTGCAGTGGTCCAACACAGCACCACAAGCATTGTCATCTGCTTCTAAAGACACATTAGAGAGAACAGTGATTATGAAATTCCAACAGACAAAGGCCAAGTTACTGTTAGGTTTAAATCAAACCAATATCTTTGGTGCAGGGTATTTCTTTACAGTTACATGTCCCTATCAGGCAGGGACAAGAAAGCCTCATTTTAAGTGAAATCAGAATTATTATTCTCAGAAGAATAGAAAATAATTTTTCTTTGTATGTGTTTACACAAACATCTTTCAGGACATGGTACCAGCCAAAGCATGGTGACAGCAGAGATAAAGTTGTAGTGAGGAGACTCCAGCAGAACTCTGAATCCTGTTTGGTTCCCAGCTTTGTCCCTCAGCTCCCACCCAGGCTCAACAGTCCTTCACAGCCCTAGACACACCCTAAGAGGAATATTTCTTATACTTGGTGAACCTCCCAAACTTTGCAACTAGGATGGCATGAACTAAAAAAAAAGAAAAAAAGGAAGAAGATAAGGCTGAATGTTTGGCAGACATAGAAAAATTCTCACCAAGAAAACATCTCCCTCAAATGAAATCTTCAACCTCCCTAGTGGAGAGCTGCCAGTAGATACATCACCACAACCAGACAACCAAGGAGATTTCTGGAGTGAAATAAGGAGTACAACTCACCCAGGTAGTTGTCATCCTCTGGTTTCCCTGAGTAACTGTGCTGACGCACATCAATATTAGTGGCACCAGCTGGGATGCGAACCACAATGTTATAACCTAGGAAAGATTTAACAGAAAGTCAAGGCTATCACACAGGCATTTGATTTGTTTTCTACAGGGGAAGGGAAATGAGCTAACTTACCTCACATTACACGAGCTGAGAGCATAAATAGTTATAAAATGGAATATACTATAGCTAGAAGGATTTTGTGTTTTACATCGGTGTTTTTGTAGATTAAGTGTCATAATGGCTTTTATAGACCCACATTTTTTCACTATAAAGTTTTTAGCAACAGATTCTTACCATAATGCACCGTGTTAAATGTGCCTGCAACAGTTTTGCATGAAGAATTATCCCCACCACAAACACCACATTTATCTCTTCTTGCTTTTGAATTCAGCACATGATCACATCCAGCTTGCTTTAAGAGAAAAATTGAAAAAAACAGATTGAGCAAATACAGACTAGAACACCATTGACAAATCTCCTAATTAAGGCACACAAAAGCAGTGTATGCAAAAGGCTGCTGTGAGATAAACTGGTTTACTTCCCCCCATTTTTCCACTGATTTATAGTGTGACCATCCCACAAGGTTTTACAACAAAAGGCTTTTTTACGAAGCAAGAATCAGAACAACTGTTTGCACCAGGTAATGCTTTCAACTAGAAAAAAATTCTTGCATCAATTGTTCCCATAGAAAAAAGTGTGTAGAACAATTGTGAATGGAAATGTAGGGCTCTGGGGCCTGATCAGGAAGAATTGGGGCAAAGCATAGAAGGAAGCAACACTGGGATTTAGGCTGAGATTCCACAGCCCTCAGTAACTTAGGGCAGATGTGCAAACATGTTCTACTTGAGTGTGTCCCAAGAAGAACTGGTGAATGGTCTAGACTAAGATGAGGAGTGGCTGAGGGGGCTGAGGAGCTCAGCCTGGAGAAAAAGAGGCTCAGGAGAGACTTTCTCACCCTCTACAACCACCTGAAAGGAAGTTGTAGCCAGGCTGGGGGTCAGGCTCTTTTCACAGGTAACAAGCAACAGGACAAGAGAAAACAGCCTCATGTTCAACAGGGGAAGTTTAGATTTGATATTAGGAAATAATTCTTCACAAAAAATGTTGTCAAACACTGAAAAAGACTGCTCAGGGCAGTGGTGGGAGTCACCCTCCCTGGTGGTATTAGAAGACATGTAGGTATGGCACTTGGGAACATGGTTTAGTGGTGGACTTGGCGGTGCTGGGTTAATGGCTGGACTTGAGCTCAAAGATCTTTTCCAATGTAAATGATCCTATGATTCCATGTGCAAATCTGGAGGCTGGCACAAGTTTCAGACCATTTGGGGCTGACAGAGTCTGCAGATGCTGCTGGCATCCTCTGAGTGAAGAGGACATACCAACAACCGCCTGGAGCATGGTGCAGAAGCGCCAGCCTGGCCGCCCTACACAAGTGGCACGTCCCTTTGGTGAGAGGAGGGACAGTGCTTACCCGGCAGAGGCCCTGCACGCAGATGTCGTTGGTGTCGGGGCCGCAGGGCGTCCCGTCGATGACGCGGTCCCGCAGCTGGTAATAGGCCGTGTTCCCCGCCACCCGGCAGAACAGCTTGCACCGATCCTTCATCAGGACTGCAGGGGGAGGGAGGGAGACCAGGAGCACGTTATCTGAACACCCTCACCCCCAGGCAGCAATCCAGGAGGCAGGATCTGCATCCCCCCAGCCACTTACTGCCGCTGTATTTGGGAACCCAGCGCACATTCGTGGGCAGCCCGTTGATGTTGAAGTGCTTCCCATCAAAGTCGGCACACTGCTCATCCCGGAAATCCTTCTTCAGCTTCGAGCACGGCTCTGTGTTGCAGGATTTAAACTTCATGCGACGACCCACGCAGTACTTCCCACCGTTTTTGGGTCTGCAGAGACAACACCGGGCTGGAAATGAGGGGAATTGCAATTCTGCAACTGGTTTAGTACAGTCAGGGTTTGCAACATCATTTGTGAGCTCTGTCTTTCTGCATATCTTTAATTAATATCCCAGGCTAACAAGCAGAAAATGTTATGCTGGTGTCTAACAAAAAAATCCCACATATGCAATAAAAAGGGATGACAAAGAGAATATTTGCTTTCTGATGGATGCCATGGTAGTGAGAGAAATCAGAAAGGAAGAGCAACACCTTCTTCCCGACCTGAGGATCTATTTTCACATTGAGGGATCCCACTCAGGCCCATGTCTTCTTACAACCCCACCAGTCATATGGATTTTGTGGCTGACAATTTGCCTTTGATCTACTGGGTTGCAAAAAACAAAACATTACAGGAGAAAAGACTTCCTTCCCTGCAGAGGCTGAAAGGTCAGACAACACTTAGTCCTTCAGGACTTCTAGCCCCAAATGTTAAAAATGGTAATGCTGAGCACTTTGAAACACTTCACCTCCATATATTCCAGAAAGCATTAAAGACAGCCAATAAATAACTTACCCCCATTTTATAGCAGGATGACACTGGTATAAACTGGGAAGACAGATCCCATCCAAGCCACATAAAACCCAGTGGATAAGCTTAGGAGAAGCTATAATTTTAAATTTCCTGACTCACAGATTCAGGGCATAAAACTCTTTTTCTCATATGTAGATGAAGCCTTTGCCAGAGAAGATCACTCTGGGGACTGAAAGAGCCTCTCCCATCTCATATGCTGCCAGCAGTGGTGCAAGAATGAGCTGTACATCAAAATAACGACCAAACCTGCATCTTCTACCTACCCTCTGAAACATGAGTGCCTACACTAGCAAGAAGTACAATCAGAAGAGCGACTTGCCAGGCTCCAACAACCGTGTACCCACAACTCCTGCCTTCCAGGGCTGCTCTTCAGGATCAGCTCTGCCTTGCTTGGGGACCAGGTGCTCATCAGTGCCCCAGGGATGCTGGCAGAATGCTCCTTCCCTTGGAGCTCCATTGGGAAGAGACACACACAAGGTTTGCACACTTGGAGAACCCTTTAAGATGCAGATGAATGAGTAATAAATGGGAACCACCCCTGCCCTCAGAACAGAGGTGCTCACCATGAGATCTCCACATGAGATCTCTCACCATGAGATCTCCAGCACCTCCAACAAAAGTGACAGCACCTCCCTGCACCTGCATAGTGGTCTCTACACACAGTGAGCCAACAAGTTCCTGCAGCTGAACTGAATTTTTTAGCACCTCCATCACTCAGGAAGCCCAGCAGTGCCATTTCTCCCTCAAATAACAATTCCTCACTCTTACACTTGAAGATTTGTTGTGACTCAAATAATGTTCCTGTGAAACAAATGAGAGACAGAAGCACAGAACAGCTTGCTCTTGCCAAAGGATTGCCTGCAAAACCAGGAAAGGCAGGCAGACTTCCCACTACCCCATCAGCACCACACTAGGGATGCTCACAGGTTTGGCAAAAGGAGTTGGGTCCTTGAGCAGCTGCAGGTGAGATGCTGAGCACCATCAGTTACACATGCAGGATTTTTCCTGCCAGCATACTCCAGTCACTGAGATCCTCACTGCTCTGGTGCAGACCCCTTTAGTCCTACCCTAAATGCCACAGGGTATGATTTGTCCTCAGGCACAGCCCTGGGCAATAGCTAACAACACCATCTCTATCTGCTCTGAGGGCAGTTCTCACATGCCATCTGGAAAGTGAAGTGCCTGTCACTTAAAAAGGTTTGTGGTGTTTGCAATTAAGCAAGTACCAGTAATAAAAAGCCCAAGCAACTGCACAGTGGCCACTGCAGATTCCTGATTACAGACTGATTTTACATCTTTACAGTTCCTCGTGGAGGAGTAAGTCTAAACCCTGTTTTTACTGATTTAGTCTGTTGTCCACCTTGTTATGACAAACAACTTCAAAGAACTTACTTCATTACACCTGGGACAGCTCCAGGGCTATCCCAGCACAGCAGCTCCTGCAGACACAGCCCAAACTCCTCCTTGCCTTGCAGGCACAATGGCAATTGCCGGGGGTTTCCCAATACCAGAGCTCATCCCATGGACTATTTGCATAGAGGCACATGAGCTCTCTCTAGCTACAAAGGGACACCTCAACCATATTACTACGCAGCACACGAGGAACCTTCTTAATCACAGCAGCAGCACACTCCAGACCTGGGTGAGTCTGAGTTATTCATAGGGGAATTAACAGGATTCATCATTTTCACTTCAAAAGCATTCTTATGGCAAACACATTGCTTCCAATATAAATCATTTTAACTAAAATGAAACTCTTAAGTATTTAGTTAAGGAGAACATGAAGAACATGCAGGAGCCCTTTTGTTTTCTTTAAAGGAATGTCTGATAAAATCCAAAAATCCAAGCTATTATTTAATTGTCTCTTCTCTAGACATGACCCCTGAGATTGAGATAACATTGACACATGGACACACCACAAACTGAAGGATGCTAAAGCTTGCCACTGTTGCAAACTGTCAGCTTTGTAACCCTGGCAGTAAATCTCCTTGCAGACAATGCTGGGGGCTGAAGCACACTCACACTTCTGGCACTTAAAAACAGCTCCAAACTCCCCTGACAAGTTTCAGTGTTTTTAACCAGCACTGCTTCTCACAGAATGTGAGGGACAAAAAGAACTGACCCTGAAAAAGAAGTCACCCTCATATAACATCAATTTTCAGTGTCATGAAGAAATACAGCATACTTTGTTCTGTGTAATATTTTTCTGTATCCTCAACAATGTACCCAGAGACAGAAGGGAAAGCAGCACATGCATAGAAACCTTTTTTTGCTTTCATTTCCTTTCTCTCCGAGTCAACTATTTGACCAATTAACAGCCAGTGTGGAGCCAATTTCAGTGCAGTATCACTCCCCTGACAAGCTCCTGCACACACCCCAGACCCACTGCACTCCTCCCAGCAGCCCAGAAACTCTCTGGCTCAGGGAGTGATGGAGTCTCATCCCCATTCCCACCCCAATAGGTCTGAAATACATGATGCTAAATCCATCACCTTCAGCATCTTCACTTGCAGATTTTGAGGCAGCACCCAGCTCCCAGCAGTCCAAGAGCACCAGGTACAGACATCCTGCCAAGAAATGCTGTTTTGGGGGTGCTTTGCACCTGCCCCATGGGATGGGCAGCAGCTCTGCCTGGGAGCACTGAGGTTGTCACAAGGAAAAGCCCCAGGAGAAATAACTGCAGGCACAAGTGTTCATCTGCATATTTGCCCAGGTACCTGTGCTCACGTGTGACTGCAGAAAAATCTGTGAAGCTCCAGATCAGTTTGAGATATCCTTCCCTACATTCCAGGGAGCCCTAGGACTTGGTTGGTGGTTAGCACAGTTATCTATACATGTGTTTGCATGTCAGGCTCAGACAGTTTTCAACACAGGTGGCTACTTCTGTGATAGACTAAAATGCAAATGAGATCTAACTCACATCCAGAGATAACACTCCCCTATCCAAACAGCCATTCCTGAAAACAGGGCTTCTGGTATTGTTATCAAATATGCCCTTTCCCATAACTCTGCAACATGTCTTTCTTTGAAAACCAGGGCTTGCACCACAGAACCTCATCAGACCCTCTGATGAGGCACCACAGCCATGGGCTTTGTCCACCAGCCAGGCTCAAATTCCCATGTGGGCAATCTCAGTGGGAAAGGTCTGGACTAGTTAGCAAACACATTCCTTCAGGGCATGTCAAAACAGCCTGTTGCCATTCCAGAGGCTTACAGCTCTTCCTGCATCCCTGCAGGATACTCACCCATGTATGTGTCAGAGCACTCTACAAAGAGAGGCAAGAGCTGCAGCCTTACTTTCTGTAGCATGGAGGGAACTGATGTAATTTTCAATACCAGATTTAACACAATTTTTTACTGGATGCAAGATCCCACCCCAGATTCTCATGCACAGAAACAACTTTAAAAAGCTAAACCAGCTTTGAATATGAGAGATTTATTGAGAATTATTTCAGTCCTTACTCAAGGTATCTGGGTTGGGTTTGTTGCCTTCTACAACAGAGGAGAAACTGTCTGTTTTTGAAGTACTTTGAGAAGGGGAAAAGGCGAGAGAGTATCCAGTGGGGTCTCACCATTTGCATCATTTTAGCAGCCCCATGATAATGGGGACAAGGGAGGTGGAAGCTCACACTATGGTGTCAAATTACAGGCACAAATCAACAATCAGTGGAAAGCTCTGGAGCACTGGAGCTCCCCCAGCACAAAGCTCAGGAAAGGGGGCCTTGAAAATAACCACTATCAATCTTAAGGATTTCTCAGGCAGCTTGGTGCCAAGTGTGTTTAGATGCTTTTGCAAATCCCAGCCACAGCAATACGCCTACTGAAGCACCAGCATACAAACCACAAGCTATCAGGGAAGATGGAATTTCAAATCCCTTGGCTAGGCTATAGGATAAAGGAGATTTTCTATCACAAAAAGCTATCAGTCTGAATAGATGCCTCTCAGGAGACAGGAATACATCTTGCTGACAGCATCCAAAGTTTCAGCAGCAGAGATGCAAAGATGCTTTGTTTTTGTCTTTCCATGGCTATCAAAGACCATATGGAGCGTGCTGACTCAGCACAGCCAGATGAGAGCCCTGCACACTTGTGTTTTTCTTAGCATTGTTTTAATTAACGTGCTGGTCTCCTACTCTCTCAGCCTCAACTTTTGACACTTGCCCAGCTGTGCTGAGCAGCCTCTCCTGTTAGCACACCACCAGTGCCAGAGGTATAAACCCTCCCTTCTCCCATTAATAGTGATGAAACTATCACTAGCACATCCCTAGTGGCAATTTCCTTGGCAATAAACCATCCAACACCAATGATGAGAAATAGGAATCTTTTTAAGACCCCTCAGTGCAACCAGTCCCACAGACTCTCTCCTGGTCTGTATCTCAGTCTCAAATAAAAGCCCAGAAAGCCTCCCTTCTTCTGCAAGAAGGCAATTAAACAGAAACCAGCACAATTCACAATTTACGTAAATAGGCTGCTTTCATACCAGTTGCTCAAGCTATTACTATTGCACCAACTACATATTTGTCTCCTTGAAGCCCACAGCAAAATTCCCTGCCATTTCAAACGGTGAAGGATTTTGCATTCCAGGCTGATAGCAAACATTTTGAGTGCCACTTTTTAATGGGTCACAGATTTCTGCTGAGGTTTGGCTAGTCTGCTCCAGCTGAAATGTAACTGTATAAAGGATCAGCTGCAAAAGCAGTCAAAAGCTGCAAAACCAGACAAAGCAGGAATAAAACAGTAGAAAACTTTATTAGAAAGCCCTCTAGGAACAGCTGCAAAAGCAACTGAATCCGGGGTAAAATGGTAAAAAAGGAAGGCTCCTTCCTTTCTCCCTCCTTTCTGAATCACAGCTTTGGAGAAAGAAAAACACTTCTGGAAGTGGGACCCCAGCTGTGCCTCTACAAGAAAACAGAAGGTAATAAACCCATGTAGGTATCAGCTTTTTATTCCTCATTGTTGAATGGATCCCTTTTTAGAGCACTTCACCCACATGCCAATGACCATATCCTGCCTCACCCCTGCTGGGCAAAGCCACCCATCCCCAGGGCAGAGCCACATGTCCTTGGCACTCACAAGGACTGGGGACAGTCAAAGTTGATTTCAGCCCATTTGGGCAGGCCAATCTGCTTTTCCCCATCTCACTCTGTGGCACTTCCCCTCCGTGCACTCACTCGGGCCTGTTGCACTCTCGGATCGCCGTCTTTATGCCGCCGCCGCAGGTCCTCGAGCAGGTCCCGAAGGGGCTCCAGGTGCCCCAGGCTCCGTCTGTCACCGGCGCCTCCAGCTCCTTGGGCACACACATCCCAAACCTGCAGTGCTGCACATGAAGGAGAGACATGGCAAAGGTGGGATTGTGCTGCTTTGCATTACGAGCGACCGACTGTGACCAGCCTGGGCAACAAGACTCAGCCTCACTTATTTCTCAGCCACACACAATGATTTTGCAATCAAATAAAACTGAACTACTTTTACTTTCGTCTGTCACCCCCATATTTTTCTTTCTCCATACCCTTAAATGGCAAATGAAGGCAAGGTGCTGAGTCCACGGAATGATTTATGGGATGAAGACTAAAGACAACAGCAACCACTAAATATTCCCTGTTTACTGGTGCTAAGCAGCACAGCAAGCTCACAGCACTGGCTTTTCAAAAAGCTGCCCTATCTGATTTCCAGGAGAGCTGCAGAAACTCTGCACGGAGAGCTGTGTCAGAGGAGGAGACAGGCAACAAGGAGAAACACCAGGGAAAACTCAAACCTCCCCACAGTTACCCAAAGCAAAAAACTTCCAAATCTAAAAGGCAAATAAAGTGAAAAAAATAATTCCTCAAGCCCAAGGTTTTTTTTGGTTTTTTTATTTTATTTTATTTTATTTTATTTTATTTTACACTCAGACATAACATGGGACTTGCCAAGACCTAGTCTACATTTCTGTTTTCCAGCTATGACTCTTGTTTTCTTTTGCTTGGAAAACTGGATTAAGTTACCTTGGCAAGCCCCCATCCCTATTTTCATGGTATAAATTGTGTCCTTTGGGGTATGTTTACTAGATGGACTACACAGACTTCTGCAGAAGTGAGGAAGGAGTCACCTTCTAGCCTCACCAGAATATATGGGAAAATATCCCCTTTCAGTGAACAGTGCTTGCTACAGTTGTTTTAAACCCAGAGACATACAGATGCCTAAATCTTTGTAATTATGGGAAGCCCAAACATTGCTAATTGCTCACAGATTAGAAGAGGCTACAGACTATGAATACAGGTAGAGAGCATAACTAAAATATGCCCTTGCAGTGTTTCTGTGTACCAGGTGCTGTTCAGATCTGATGATCTTTATGGGAACAGGGTCAAATTTGCTGATGCACTGTGTTTTTCCAGCCCTTCCACTAATACCACAACAAGGCTGTGTCAAGACACACCACAAGCTCACCCCACTTTTTTAAGACACCCTTATGAACCACCTTTGATAAAGCTATCTAGGCAAACAGAGCAGAATCAAGCTGTCATGGGCTGTGCATCCCACAGAACACCAGCTCTGTAGCACATACGACATCTTTTGCCCCATGAAGGCTGACTTGTTACATAGTTTGCTGATGAAGAAAGCTGATCTCAGGTGCATTTGACCATGGATATGGTTTGCAGGACAGCTGAAGAAATAATTTAACTCCTGCATGTGGTGTTTGCTCAGAGACAAGCATGGTCTCTATGCTGCAAAATGCCCCAGATTTGCTTTCATCTGAAGATCTGATTCCCCAGATAAAAGTGACTGAAACCCATCTGCTACAATAAAGGACAGCAATAAAATCAGCTGAAATGCCTGTTTCTTTGCTGCAGGACAAATTACAATGCACAACTCTTCCTGGCATTTAGAGGTTGAAAACCTGAAGGTTGGGGTCCCTATACAGTGACAGCTATCATTAAACAACAGAAATACATGACAGCAATCCAACAGTGCTGTCCCAGTGGAGAACTTCTTGCAGCAATGTTGATGCTCACAGCTAAATATCTAACCAGAGTCATGCCAGGCACCACTGACCCACGGATGATGACTGAATAGCTAACTAGTGAATGAACATAGCTTACAGACCGTGACATGACCTATATGTCTCCCATCTCATGGTTGAGAATTAACCAGGAAGTCATCTACACCTATTGATTTTATTAAAAATTTGGGGGTTGGAGTTGATGGTAAAGCAAAGCAGGGGAAAAGAGCAGCTGTTTTAAATAAATGGCCAGATTATCTTATGAAAACACAATGGTGCTTCTTGGAACCACACTGTGAACAGTCTGGCTGTGCAACCTTTATGCCTTTCATATTTTAAAAATAATTTCTATGTTGAGATACAGCAGAAAGACTAAAAAGCCTGCCAGGGTCCTCTTTCCTATAAGCTTACAGCTCACAGAATGAAGAGAATAAAAGGCAGATTGTCTGGAGCAAATTCAAAGTATCTTAGACACACAGTGGAGCTGGAGAGCATTGGCAGGGATGGAAGACATTACAGCAGACTTTCCTTTCTTTTGTATTGCCACTGGAGTTCCAGATAATTCCCCAAATCCAGCTGCCATCCTTGGGCTGGCTGGCTGAATGGAGTAGCAGGGGGCAGAAGGGGCTGTGCAGCTTCATGCATGCATAACAGATACACTACCTGCTGCCACAGGGCAGCAGACACAAATCATGACTGTTCATCTGCTCTACAGTTACCATACTTTAAACAGCCCTGAAAACCACAATGGAGAGTGGTCCAAATTTACAACCCCCCTCCTTTATCTTCTTTCAGAGATTTATCTCCACCCAACAATGAGCTGGTTCTGTGGAATATGGTAAAACCATCATGCAGCAAAGCCAGACTCTGGGCTGGGCTTATGGCTTGATTTGGCAATATCAGATTCAGTGTCCTCATGTGTAAAATATGCGTAAGTTAATACTCTCATGTTTTTTAATGCCCTTGATTTAAGAGTAAATTTAGAGCCTAGTTAAATCTACATCCCAGTAGCTTTAGCTAAATCTTTTTTTTTAGCTATTCAAGCTCTCTTATTTCCAAAGATATCTCCATAAAAAATGGTATGGTATTTTCTCCATCTGCCAACCCATACAGCATGGGCTTTAAACATGCAGACTTGAGGCATTAGTCAGCAAATAGCAGCTTGACAGGGCTCCTGGCCACAGCAAAGTACCAAAACAGCAATTTATTCCAAGGAAAAGCACTTCAGACTCGCACCTCAGCACTTTACAAGCCCAAGTAAATACCAAGCAGGACAGAGTTTATGTTGATCCAAACTTTAAGCTTGAATCAGATGAACACACAGGCAGCAAAATTACTCCATAAAGCCCTTTTGTGAGAATACATTTAAATGCCCGAACATGAGTGGGCTGCATTTGCTTTTCTTAAGAGCCTATCTTCTCTCAGCTGAGACGTTCAGATCACACTTATCTAGCTTGTCTAAACTTGTCAGATTGTCTAAATTTGTGGCCTGAAATGTTTTTGCTCAGATGGTCTTTATTAAGAGCCATGCAGCTGGACACTGCATGACACAGGGTGGCTCTGAGGGGGTGCTGATCTGCTCAGCTGTTGCTATTTGCACATCACTCTGGTCATATCCAAGGGTAAGTGCAGGTTTGCTGCAGCCCAGATTTTTGGAATTTCAAGAAAATGTCAAAGTTATTGCTGATCTTTCAGCAGTGAGCAGATCCCAAGCTCACCAACAGAGAAGTTGAGGGCACAAGGTCTCAAGTCACAGGGACTCCGCAGACACCTATGCTCAAAATGGAGATTTTACAGAAAAACATTAGACATTCCAATTACATCTCTAATGCACTTTCTCAACCATAAAAACAAATCTGCAATTGCACTTTTCCCTAAGAAAGGAAGGCAAATTGATACGTGATGCTCATTGTCTTGAAGGAAATCAGTCAAGTGTCATTGAACAATCGAGTTTTCAGACACATACATCAAAAGATAAATTTCCAAACACTTCCACAGCCTGTACGGAAAACTATATTTCAAATAGCATCCAGAATTTTTATTAAAGTTACTTTGAGACTATGATTCAAAACTTTGACTCTTTCTAAAGAAAACATTATCATTATTAATGTTGATCTTAAGAGCCAGAAAAGCAAAATTTTAAGCTATACTGTGTAGAATAACATCACACTATTTTTACTAGACACAGATGGAGACTACTTTTATTCAGACACAAATAGTAAGAACCAGTTAGCATTTTTATTCAAAAGCTTCAGTATCTCAATAAAAGAAAAATGCTCTCAACTATTTTTCTACAGAGACGAATAACTAAAAATTAAACACTTACTCTAGAAACCACAATGCTAGCTGGAAATTAACATTGCACGTGGAAATGGGAAGTTTCTATGAATTACTGCCAAAAATGTTCCATACATAAAATGTCAACCAGTTCTATATTTTACTCTGAAGCTGTCAAGATGAAAAGCCAGCTGACAAGTTTATGTTACACAGAATTACTAATTGCTCACATCACATAGGCAATTTCTAACAAAAGCTTAGGGAAGCTTTGAAGAAGTTTTGCTCAGAAGTTCACTCAAGGGCATTAATTCAAAAAGATAAGCACTCCAGGAATACCTGCTTTAAACAATGTTATGCCAAGCAATTGACTTTAATCATGTTATCTGGGCTGGAGATGTATCAGGCACCATCAGGCTTAAAGCACATAGAGCTGCGTTGGGCTTCCAGCACTGCAGTCAGAGCCGTGCCCCACACTACTGGCATTAAGGTAGGATGATTCTGACTGATATGCTCAGCCTCAGCCCAAGGAAATAAAGCCACGAGGCACAGACCACCAGGTATTACAGACCTTTCCAGGCTCACATTCTGTCCCATCAGCCCAAGGTGTGTGTTGGGTTCGACATCCCTTGTGAGGACCATCGACGTTGATACACCAAAGTCGCCGACACTGCATCTGCTTAAGTGATTGCAGAAATCAAAACATTAAATATGTACCATATCCCTTACCAGACAGATAATCCTTTATGAAATTATCCCCCCAGGATTTATCATTAACTCACAAGCTTGACAGTAAGTTGATGGATTGTGAGTCTGCCATTCATCCAACCCCAGGAGACCTTATTTTGCTCTGGCAAAACCAGGAAAAATAAGGTGTGAAATTTCACTTACCATATAGGGGCACACTTGGGATCCGGGTCCAAAAATTAACTCACATTGTTTGTTGACGTCATAAATCAGCCCTGGGAGCTGCTGAGGCAATGTGTAAGTTCTTGATGAAGGTTCATCAAGCAAACACTCCCCATAACCAGTGCTACAAAACAAATCAGAATACTGGTGTTAACAGGAGGTGGGAGATCAGAATCCACTTGTGTTTGCCTGAATTAGCCTTAGGGCAGTTGCACACCACGTTTGCCATATTTAACAAGCACTACAAGAGCTATTTCAAACTCAAGCACAGGAGGGTGTGTTACCCACACACCATCACCCTTGTGCTGTGACAGCAACCATCCACCACGCCCCAGTCAGCTACCATGGCAAAAGCATTTCTAAGTGTGCATTTAGTTGCTGAGCAAGCACTGGCGCATTTTTATAAAGAATTTAGAAAAAAAAAATCACTGATTAGCACAACTGCCCAAGGGACTGAGCTCCTGGATTTGCCAGAACACCATCATGGCTCTCATTCTGTTCCACACCACAACACACGGGAAGGCATCACAGCAAAATGGGCAAATCACTATGCAGCAAACTGACCCGTGGGCTCCTGGAACGGTGTTCCCACACGGATTAGTGCCAGGGCTTTATCTTGACCTGTGGAGCAGAAAGGCAGATTCAATCTGCCTTCTAAAACACAGCTCCGTATCTGGGCCACAAAGCTTGGAAAAGTCATTCTTCAGGTTTGAGGAGAACACACATTCCTTAAAAGCAATATCCATGGGGGAAGACTTATTATTCCCCATTGAGAGGCTGGTCCTTGCCAGCTTATCATGAGGCTGAACTGGCAGGCATTGGATGCCAGGGCTGCATTCCTGCTCTATGTAAAGGATGTGTGCACACACAAATCTCTGATTTCCTCCAAACGCTGCACACTAGGACTCCTAATTAACTGAAGAACTCCATGGGACACATGGACATGTGAAAACAGCCCAACACATGCATATGCAAGGCCTTACTCCAGAAATTCAGTGATGTATTTCCTACTGCACTTTGACCACATCCAGGGATTGGTGTAGAAGTTCAGTGTTGGTGCCATGACATGCTGTTGGAGGTTTTTACCTCCATCTTCCTTGCACTTGTGATTGTCATCATGTGGCATGTTAAATCTAAGAGGAAAAGAGCAGCAAAAAGTAGAGTCAGTTAAGAGGCAAACATCAAGTTTTTAGCATAGCAAGGGCAACAGTGTAAACTAAATGCAAGCAAACCCAAGAATTTTCCCTACATATGCCACTGACAGATATTACAGAATAAAAGTATTAATACACACATATTCATAATAAATTTAGAAGTGTTAATGAAGAGGGTTTCTAGAACTCATGTGGGAAAAGCTGTGCAGCATCCTTCTAAGCTCTCCACTCCATGACTGCATATATTTAGCCAGAGAAGTCCTCCAGGGAGCCTGGAGTAAGATGCAAATCCAGCTGCAGTTTCCTTTTCATCTGACGGTTGCTATCCTGCAGACAGGCTGGAGTCTGGACCCTCCTTCATAAAAATGGCAAATACTCTGGAACTGACCACAGATCCAAGAGTTGATCTCAGGGAATTCTGAAGGAGATGACTGACTTGAGCCCACTAACTGCAGACCCTCATGCACACAATACTCTTGGATGCAAAGTATTTTCTATTGCAGTTGAATGCCCTGGGCCACGGGGCTGCTTAAGCAGGGTTGTACCAGGGATAGACTTGGCTCCTATACTTTATGTGGCAGGGTTGCAAAATGCCAGCAAGCATTGGTATCAGCAGAAACCAACGTGAAGTTTGCAGCACATGACATCTTGAAGAATGTGGTAAATTCACTAATGGAGACAGAGCGGCTTAAAGTGCTGTGCTGTTTGAAGTGGGGAAGGGGAAGTGACCTGGTGTGATCCTGTATTCCAAGGCTGGGGAGTTTGTATTCCATTAAGATTACCTCCAACAAACCATCTTTTCTGCTCTCTGAAAAAAAGAGCACAGAGGAGTTTCCTGCTTGGGAGCACTGCTAACCCCCTCTAGCAGCTCTGAGTCAGCATTAGCAAAGGAATTAGCCATAGGTTAGGTATGGGGAACACCAAAATTTTGGGGACTTTCTGTCAGGAAGTCTTATTTAAACAAATACTACTGTGGTTAAAAATAGACAGTCTCAGCCAGCTCTCCATGAAGAAAAGCAAGAGTTTAGAATAATGCGAGATCTGTTCCCAAGTACTCATCCATCCCACACCTACAGAGCTCCACTGCAAAGCAGGCATGTGATGATTTGGGACTGAGTCAGCTGCCTAAGGTTGTAGCCAGGGGTAAAGGACTATGTGATCTAAGGTGATTTTCTCATGACTGCTTAGTAGTGAGAAAAAGTCTCAGTAGTGAGAAAAAGCAAAAGTTGCTTGAAAGAAATTTCTGCTGGAGGAGGTGAATGGCAGCACTTCTTCAGGGGATGTCCAGCAGCACAAGATTTTCCATGATGAAACAGTTCAAGGGTTGAGTTAAGCTCACTTATACACCTCATCACCTCCCAGATGCCCTGGGTAAGTTCCTCCTTCACACACAGCTGCTGCACTGCCTTCACCAGCACCACACAGAGCTGTGGGACAAGCTGTAGCAGGCTGAGGACCTGCTCTCAGAGAAGACTTCAGTCTCAGAAGATAGTTCAGATGTGCCAGAATCCTTTGTCCTGGTCCCCTGCAAGGACCTCTGCCCAAAACCCTGGCTAGTTCAAATAACTTGGTCAAGATGTCATTTCTTAGGTGCTGCTTGTGCTACTCTGTCATTTATCCTCCTCAAAACATGGCCCTGCTGGTTTGGCTGCTCTCAGGTAGGCTCCAGAGCACCCCACAATTTCATCTACCTCAGTGGTGATCTTCTACCCAAATATATTGATCTCCCCTCATATAATTAGTCTTAGCAGTATCAGTTTCCAGCCTGGCTGGCAAGCCCTAGTTAGCATAAATATTGGGCTATTTAAATGCAAATGTATTTACATAAAACATACACATGGCCAAGTTCATGTGCTATGGTGAAAGCAGTGCTCAGTCCGTTATCTTCACTAATTGAACAGCTCCTGTATGGGTCACAGACTGTGCCCAGCTCTGCCAGACCTAGGAGATAACAGAGATTTATGATGGAAAAAGAAATGTCACTTACAGTTCAACATAGACATCTAACATTGTCTCTACAAAAAAAGTTATTAAAAGACAAAAAAAAAAGGTTTTCCTTACCCAGAGTATCACATTTGTCGTGCGCTCTACAAATATCCTGTCTGAAAGCAGAACAGACCTGACACATTAACTCTCAATGCAGCAGTGAGTTAAGGTACAAGCACATGTAACAACAGCAGAAACAATTCTTGGTCCTCCAAAGGACCTTCTCATGCTGTTTTGCCACATCATCCACAGTCCAAACTAACTCCCCACCACAGTCAGAGTTTTTCATCTTGTGCTAAACCCATGGGCAGACCTCAGACAGTCTTAAGCCTCTCAAAATCATCTCGTTCTGGTGGACACATGCTCCCACAACTGCAAATATCATTACATCCACATCAAAATCTGACCATTTCCCATATATTACATGCTCATGGGCCCTGATGCACAACTGGCTACAGTTTTCATAAGAATATTCACCACACCTGGTAACAAGCACGGCTGTATCATGCCGAAGGTGACTTCCCTCTGGGTGGTTTTGGGACTGCTGCCATTGGCAGAAGTTTTTTAATGTTGTCTGGGCATTGTAAGATATTGCAGGACCATCCTGATAAGCAACAAACAGAAAGCAGGTATTTTAATTATTCATGACAATGCTCACTACAAATACCATTGTCAAGCAGAAAGTGAAGAAAATAATTTCCATTACCTGCTCATTATGTATCACGACCAATTTCACAATAACAATATTAATTAAGTTTCCAATGCTTGGGTCTTTGTAGATAGAAGCCACCTGTTTCAAAAAGCAATATTTGGAATTACTGTTGACATTCAAGGAAATAAACAGTTAAGACAACACACATATTCTTCATGTTGCAACTGTTTTTCTCCTGGGCTGCTCTTCTGCCCTACTCAGTGCTTTGATGCTACTTGGAGAGACCTTCTGGCAGAAGCACAATTTTAGAATGAAAAAAAACCTGCTGGTATCACAGAAACCTAATATTTCCTTTTGCTTTAGCACACCTTTCACCAAATTAAAGGATCATTTGAGACACAAAGACCACCAAACAAGACTGCCAAAAGAAACTTATTCTTCCAATTGCCTGATTTTGACATGGGCAATTTCAGACCACATATTGAGTGCACTTCTACCCTCAAACAGGATGAACATTGCTCCAGAGACACAAATATGTTGGATAATCCCTTCTACTCACTCTGCATATACAGAACTGCCTGTCTGGAAACTGCACTACTGCATCTTAGTACCTGCAACTACTCAGGTGCTTATTCTCAGCCTGGAAAGCCAACTTGAGAACTATGCTAAGGATCGAGGTGACAATAGACTCGTTCTCCTTGCAACAGCAGGTGAAATCAGGCAACTGCATAACCCACCAGCATCAGTCCCCTGGAAGGCACAGTGCCCAGAGTACTTTTTTAAATTCGGCTGTTAGTTCACATGGGCTTAAATAAAAAGAAGAGTATAGCTGTGGACTATACAACCAGTGATATTGTTCATGGTGTCTGATGTTCAGAAAGCTGGAAGAGAGAGGTGTGAGAAGGATCAAGAAGCGTGATGGATCTGGGAAAGAAGACTCCAACCAGCATTTTCCAGCCATGTTTTACCAATTTTGATGTAACCCCAGCATTATCTCCATGCCTAGAGAAGGCAAACTGATGGCGTTGCATACAAACGCAGCAGAGAGGGGCTCTGTGACCACTAGAAAATGATTTGTGGGTTAATTTACTTGCCCTGGTTGAACACTCACTATTGACATCAGGGTTAAGACATAGTGCTGTAGGTTGGCTCCATGGTAGGCGACCATCCTGCTGTCAGCCACCACCATCACCTCCACAAAACGTGGGTAGGACAAGAACCGCTTCGTTCGCTTGTGGCTCTTCTTTTCACCAATGGTCCCCGTCTTGTTGCTGTCCCCAGAAAAAGAATTCACTTCCAGGCTGTGTTTCAACATCTCCATATCAGATAATATGCTGCTGCTCTCTGCCCATTGCCTTCTCCAGTGTTTCCGCTTGTTCTTTTTGTGACTGTGGTCATGATCTATGGTTAAAAGGCAGAAAAAAACATTCAGTACAATCTGGAGTGAATAAAGTACCACGTGTATGCTAAGTCAAAATACCTACTACCTCAACAAAGTTGCGTGGGCCTGCTCCAAACAAGCAGGGAACTGAAACAGAAGCACTCTGTGGAAGCCCACCATGTAATTCAACATCTAAGGATTCATTTTCAAAGCCACCTTGGGGAAGCCAGTAGCACTCAGAGGTGGACATTCCCTGCAGCAGAGCCAGCTCCTGGTCCGTGCAGGAGGGATGGAGCCCTGCAATGGTAATTAGCCACTGCAGCAGCAGTGTGAGGATTCTGGGCACGTCCAAGGTGGCCAGGAAACCACAGGAAACAAAGGTCCAAATCCTGTATTTCTAACTCAGGCATGAAGGACGGCAGGATTTGGCCTTCACAGCAAAGCAATTATATATGATTTATTTCTGTCTCTAACAATAACACGCCTGGGCTTCAGCTCCCCCCTTCCCTTTATTATTCTGTGCTACAGGAATGGTAAAGGTCATCTAATAGCACAGCTGCCACTGGACAAAGAATAGAATTCAGGAAGTTTCACATATACTGCTTTTGATATTCAATTAGGCCAAACATAAAAGCAGCCTGAAAATATACTCCATGCTGATACAAAGACGACAAAGTGAAGAGGGAGAACAGGCATATAAAACATATGGAACATGTACAATTAAGATTTACCGTCTGATTAGTATGTAATTATAGCATTATTTAAATGTAAGCGCAAAATCAGGCTTATTTGATGCCACTTAATTTTTAATCAGTTCATCATAGGAAGTAGCTAATTGAATGTGATTCATCCACGAAAGACTGTTCACTTCTGCATTTAATATAAAGCCAGATCTGAACTACTCATCTACGACTCCAGGCTACAACCCTCATGCTCTTTGTAGCTTTAGTTTAATTTTGTCATGCTGGTGAAAAATATCACATTTCCTTATCTGACCCATTGAGTAGGTTAGAGGAAGCATAATATTACAGAACAAAGGAATATTCAATGCTCAAACAAGATTGAAATGATAGGAAACGTCTTAGTTATTTTTCCTGTATAGTTTCCTTTTAGGAATATTTGTGATAATTTCCAAAAATTTATTCTGCAGTATCGCAGCAGGCAAAGGGGATCAGCCAGCTTCTACCTATCTGAAAAATACTATCCTTTAACCCTATGTGCAAATAGGCAATACAGTAATTAAAGAATTAAATCCTGCCTACTCTGTACTACCTAAGTCCTCTAAATTCCCCTTTCTTGATATAGTCCAGACCACCTTAATACAGCAGAGAGTCTGCAGTTATTTGAGTAAGAATTCGAGAAAGCCAATGGCATTTGTGGTTATAATTGGATTGCCCTAGTTCCTCTGCTCTAATCAATGCCCTTGTGTTGGCAAGGTTATGCTCTCATGCTGGCACTGCTTCGTGGGCAACCATGACATTATCCCGACTCATTCAGTGCCAACCAGCTTGGGGAGCCAACTATGCATACAAATAACTTAAAGGTGAGGAGGGGACCAGACTGAGGAGAAAGTGCTAACCCCAGCCCTTCAGCCAGCTCCTCTCTGCACCCTTAGACTGCCACTCAAATTTCCCTTTTAAATAGCTAACTTCCAAAAGGAGCAGGTGCCCTAGGAAAAGTGTGTTTAGGATGGGGAGATGCTCAACAGGGCTCGAGCAAGGCTGAAGACAAGGCTGCAGAGCAAAGGCAGAGCTCTGCAGGGCCCCAGGTGGGACCATGAGGCTCAGGTGCCTTCTCCCATCATCCAGTCAGAGTGAACTTAGATGGCAAAAAAAGAGGGAATTTCAAAGACATCTATCTTTGAAGACGCCTTTTATACACAGGTGTATAAAAGAAATTTATATTCACTGGGCTTTCACTGAAATCCTGCTGCTGGTATCACACACTAAAAAAAAACCCCACAAACCCACCCAAAACCCAGAGAGTACCACATGAAATTCCACATCTTGTTCTGAGAGCCCTGACCTGCCCCTGATCTTGCAGGGGAATCAGAGCCCAACAAAGCCAGGTATGCCCAGCAGAGAGGAAAAATAACTTTCCTTTTTGCACAGAGATCTGGCACAGAGTTAACAGAATCATTTAGGTTGGAAAAGATACTTATGATCATCAAGTTCAATCATTAACCTAATGCTGCCAAGTGTTGGTACAGTATCAGTGCTCTTTCCCCATTCAGCACACAAATGAAGTCAGACACATCATCACTTCCAAAACAACTGAATTATTGTGACTCACAAAGTCACTCTAACACTTGCAGTGTGCTATTTGGATAGGTCACATATTGGGTGTTTGTCAGCTGGTTACCGGAAAACCAGGCACCAGTGAAGGGGATGCACTGCATAAAAGCCATTCCTGGACTTTGGTAGTAGTGAACTGTTATCTTCACCCATCTTTCTTGCATGTAGATAGTGTGCACTCACCTGTAAAAAATTAAATGCTAATGGCTGTGCACTGCTCTCAATCCATCTGTAAAATCCTGACCACATTAATGGGGGCTGCACAAGGCACTGCCAGGAACTCTGTGTGCCTGATTCTGTTGATATCCTGCTCCATTATAACAGCCACAACAGCATTGCTTTCAGTGAGTGGTGCAACATGCTGCCCTGCTCCATCAGGCAGAAGCGAAATATCTCACTTACACAAAACTGTGATTTTGCAGCACCAGCTTCCTACTGGCACAAATAAAACCAGAAAAGGGTGTGATATTTCCCCACCTTATTTTCACTTTTTTTTCTATTGTGTTAACGTAGTAACAGAAATCAGGAAGAAAAATGGTTTTCTTGGCAAGCCCTCAATCTTTGCAATGACCTGAAACACATCTACTTACACATGGTAGTAACTAGATGGGTTTAAAAAACAAAACATTTTTCTTTTGCTTTGTAGAAAAACCAAACCCTAGTGAGTAGAAAAATCCTTTAAAAACACACAAAATACAATTCAATTATTCAAGTATCAGGTGAGCCCATACACTGACTCAACAGTTCATAATAATTTGAGAGGCAGGTAAAGGCAAAATAATGTCCATTTTACTGCATACTTTACTAAGACAATCTATGCTGTTTTCACTGTCTTTATACAGACCTGGTAGTTTATCTTAATTTTTTTTTCTGTTTGGTTTCTTCTTTGTAATGTGGGACTTAAAAGGAGACCCAATCCTGTAAAAGGATATCGCTTCCTGATGGCATCTTCTCACTAATGCCATTTATTTTTGCTTGGGCAAGAAGCCTCAGCCCAGAACCCATTCAGCTGATTTATGGATGTTTCCTGCTGGTTAATGTACTTTGGATCTATCACAAGAAAGAGAGCAGGGAGGACTTAGGCCCTGTGTGAATACTTTGCCTGCGTGAAAGGGTGACAGGGCAGAGTCAGGATCTGCTTTTGACATAATAACTATTGTTATACTAAACCAAATATTAAAAGATGGAATGCTCACTTATCCCAACAGCCATAATCCTTTCCATTTCTACATTAACTAGTCCTTGAAATAGAAAGCAATTTGCACAATTAAGTAAGACATGTAACAACTCAAGCAATTCCAGCTCAGCTGCAAGTTCATAAGAGCTGCACATAGCAACAAAAAAAAGAAAAAAAGAAAAAAGTAAAACACAGAGAGAGAGCAAGAGAGCAAAAGAAGGGGTGAAGAAAAATGTCTTCCTTGAGATAACAACATCTCCCTGCTAGTAAAACTGTATGATCCTTTCAAACTGACTAATTATCTCAAGTTTTTTGAATGTGTGACCTAGGATTTTTAGCAAAATTTACCACTCAGCAGTTGGCCCACATCATTTCTACCCCGGCTCTGATCCAGTTACAAAGATAATAAATTATTGCATACCTCCATAAAACAGACCAAAATTCAGCTGAGTTCCCCTTATGCAGTCAGTCAGCATGTGACCAGTCTTCCTCAACTCTACAGGAGCAACCCTGGCCCCCTGGCCAAAAGCTTTAGTACAAGCCCCAGCTCCAGCTGCCTGGCTGGATTTGCTGCTTGTAGCTGGTACAACAGCAGCTGCCCCAGGGACTGCCATCACCTGGGAAACAAAGGAGAGAGGCAAAATAAATTTGCCTTCATGCAGAGATCAGACTGGCTGAAATTGAACCACATTTTTAGGCTCTTCTTGTCAAGAAATGGAATGGAAACTGGCCCCTCCTTAGGACACCAACAGGTATGAAGCCAGGTCAAAGACTTTTTCTAGCCCTGGGTCTGTCCTAATTCTATATCAAGATGTTTTTTATCTCTGTCTTTCTATATATTTACAAATGTATCTCAGATGGATTTGCATGAGGCCAAATTCTCACCTCTGTTACTGTGGGGTGTTGTTGTGGTCAACATAATCCAAAGCTGAACACGCTTTCTCTGCCAGCAGCTTCACACCCTGCTCAGACAGTAGCCAGGGATTGAAACATAATGGGGGACCTGCCTTGCTGTAGCACACTGAGATGATCAGTCCTATGAGCAGGATTAATCCTGCCTTTCCTCTGGATAACTCCTTGACTGAACTAGAGCTGCTGCTATAGCCAGGTCCATGTCCAGGAGCTCCTCCTGCTGAAGTCAGTCCCACGTGTCAAGCCCAGAGCCTGGAATTTGTGTTTGCAATATGTGAAAATATAAAGGCCAGAAAGCAAAGCTATAAAGCCATGGGCAGTTCAGACCAGCATGAAGCATCACTGATGCAAAAACCAACAGTTTCACCCCAATTCACTCGCTGTATCCTGTGTCTGTGTCTATAGAGACTTGGAAGTGCCAAAGCTCAAGGTAATGCTGAACCCTGATGTCTGGCAGGGTGACCCTGCCTTTCTTCTCACTGCTTGAACCAGAATGCTGAGAACCATGGACTTGAAGTGAGCAGCAGTAGCTTCCCTTAGTAATAAAACATTCTCTGGTTTATGCCATGCTAACACTAAAGACCACACATACTCTAGATGTTTTCTTTACAAGTGATGAATATCAGAAAGCATTCCA